TAATATTACCATGTTGAAAAATGAGTACATACAGGGTGTTTAATGTTTAAAAAACAAAATTGATAACATCTGAAATAGGCATCTAGTTTCTTAATTAATTTTTTCCTTAGTTTTTATTGTTTAATCTATAACTGTGTAATCTATAAGTTGTCGGTGAAATTTATTTAAAAAGTAATTTACTTAACATGCCATAAATTTTTCAGAAACCTAATAAATTCCATCAAAACCTAAAAATAATAAGACAACTTTGAATTATTAATGTTTTCCCACTTCTGACTATACTTTCATAAAACAAATAATTTTTTTTTACAAAATTTTATTTGTTCGAAAACCTTTCCAGAAATATACAAAATAAACATCGGCAAACTCAAGTTATTCTATTCTGAAATTTTATTTTATATACATTTTTCGATATTTTTGCAGTTAATTAGATTTTATTTTATTTTAGATATAGTAGTTTGGTTTTGCAAATTTATTTCGTCGATTATTTCTTTACGACAATAATTTTTCATCCGAGAAAAATAGACTTTGAAGAAAACATCAATTAAGTTCTTGAAAGAATTCTTTAATCGGTCATACATTAATTGATGCTATTCTAATTTGAATTCTTTGGTTTAAAAAAAAGATAGCATTCGACACATCGATTACTATCAGTGCATCAACTCGGACTGATTTATGATATGATAACAAGTTCCTTGCATAATATCCCAAACATAATAGGAAGCGGAATAGCTGCCGTAAAATATAGATCTTCACTTTCATCTTCTATACGATTGAATGGGTTTTAGGCAAAACTATAATGACAATAGGAATAAAACGCAAGTGCTTCATCATTTGAAAAACATTCCATACAACAAAAACGAGCTTTAGGAATAGTTATTGTAATGCTTTAAAATAAATAATTGCTAGGGCGAATGCATTCTATAACTGATCGATTATCTTGGAAGTTGCTTTATGGTTGACTTCACTAATTATCGTAAGAGGTCAATTACTTCTTTTAATTGGAGATTCACTTGGTTTTATTATTCATGTCTTTCATAAGATTAGTTGTGAAAATCTCACACGTTTCGTCACGTTTTAACAAAGGAAAATCTAATTCTTCAACTTTTACTCAAGGGTTTGATAAGGAAATTAGGCTTATTCATGGTACTTGTTACAATTTTAGTTGAAACATATATTTTCGGAAATAAAACTGCCATTTTTAATTAGACTAATTTTTGCCTCATGACATGTTTCTAATTAGTTTTGTAAATTGATATGTTATAAAATATAATAAAAGAGTTTCATAAAATAGAAATTTTTTAAAAAGTTTTTCATTTCAAGTACTTCATCATCTCAAATTTTTAATTTTTCATTTTAATTTAAATTTTTTTGCTCACGATATATTCACAGTATTTCTGTAAGTTTTTCCCTCCTTTTATCAGCATTCGTTGGTCATTCACGTATTATACCATATCTCTCAAACTCGCTTTCGCCAAGATTTTTTTTAATTTTTTAAGTAAGATTTTTTTTAATTTTACACCGTAATTTTTACAGCAATATTTATTTAATTACAGTGATTAAATGATTTTACAATAAATATTGCTGCAAAAATCACATTATATTAGATTTTTTGTTCCATAAAATTTCACATCAAAAATAGATTTTACGGTAATAAGTACAAGCTCCATGAATGCCGGTACTTTTTGCCGTAATTTGTTATGGAATTTTTTACAATGTAATATACACAATTATATACAAATACACACAATTATAGAATTCTCTTATCCAAGGACAATCCCCTGAAAAAGATTTTTTTAACAGTTTCTTAAATTTGCTTATTATTTTATTTTATAACAGTGCAACTTCATTTCGAATTATATAATTTGAAACAATTATAAATAATATTTGAATTAAATCGGTTGCATAGTTTCTGCACATTTTTAAAAAAAATCATTATTAATATTAAGCCATTATAGTTATATTATTATAATTATTACAATCATTATTATTACAATCATTATTATTATTATAATTATAAGTTAATTTTTATTAGTTTTAAGAAAGATGTCTTTATTAAGTATTGAAATGTGCAGTTTTGATAAAAAGCCTGAAATGACAGAAAATAAGTTTTCAAATTGTTGGATTTTGAACTTTATTTTGTTAAAAATATTGTGACTTATGATTTTTGGATACGAGTCGCAAAGTGAAAAAGGAAAGGAAAACTTAGGGATACTATTATTCATGTATAATAGTGTTCTCTATGAGTATGTAATGACAGTTTTCTCTATGTGCTATCAATAAGAACATATGACACACTAATCAGTCCCAAACGTCAGTAATATCTTTCTTATAATAGACTAATAACACACTTTATTTGTGTGTAAGAACTAATAACACACTAATGGTACATTTTTATAACACACTAATAGATATATTCAAGAGTTTTGCTACCTACCCAAGTCAAAATTCTAGATGGTCCCATCAAAAAATTTTGACGGTTTATGTTGGTTTCAGTTCGAGTCATGATGGTCACAACCATCCAACATTTTTCATAGTTTTTGTTATGCCAACAAATTTTCATCATTTCATGATGGAAAATTCTACTTTAGTACTATCATGGTTGACCATCTAAAGAATTTTGATTCTCATGGACCAACAATGTGAGTGATGGTCCATGATGGTTCCAACTATACATTTCCATGATGCTTTAATGGGATGGTTTAATGGGAGAAATATACCACCAAAACAATTTGTTTTTTTATGTTGGACTATCAAAAATCAGTCCGAGTTCCTACTTTGGGGTGATGGTTGTTTAGATCGTTCAAACATTTGATTTCTAAGAAACTATGATCGAGATTTCTGATGGTTCAACATGAACAAACCATCAAAACAAATTGATATTCTTATGTTGGACCTTCATAAATCAGTCCAAATTCCTAACTTGTGGTGATGGTTGTTTAAATCGTTCCAACATTTGATCTCTAAGAAACTATGATCGAAATTTCTGATGGTTCAACATGAACAAACCATCAAAACAAATTGATATTCTTATGTTGGACCTTCATAAATCAGTCCAAATTCCTAACTTGTGGTGATGGTTGTTTAAATCGATCCAACATTTGATCTCTAAGAAACTATGATCGAAATTACTGATGGTTCAACATGAATAAACCATCAAAACAAATTGATATTCTTATGTTGGACCTTCATAAATCAGTCCAAATTCCTAACTTGTGGTGATGGTTGTTTAAATCGTTCCAACAGTGGATCTCTAAGAAACTATGATCGAAATTTCTGATGGTTCAACATGAACAAACCATCAAGGCAAATTGATATTCTTATGTCGGACCTTCATAAATCAGAGTGAATTCCTCCATTGAGGTGATGGTTATTTATGTTGATTTCCGTCAAAAACAAAATGGTTCACGATGGAATTATTGATGGTTACCATTTAGATTATGTTGGTCCATCACTGAAAAACCATCAAGCATTTTGACTTAGATAATAATATTGCAATCGGTTGATAGTAAATTAATTTGAAATTTAACAAAATTTCACACAATTTTAAAAAACTCAGTAATAAGTCAGTCACAAAAGTCAGAAACTACTTTCATATAATACACTAATAACACACTTTAATAGTGTGTAATAACTAATAACACATAATAGCACACTTTTATCTCTCAATTATGTATATAGTCCCCATACATATATATATATACAAGAGTTTTTCTACCTAATAATATTGCAATCTATTGATGGTAAATTAATTTGAAATTTATCAAAATTCCAAATAATTTTATATAAGTTGAGACAAACTTAATTGGAAAAAATTGGTTAAATATAATAATAGGGAAACTATTAAACTTAAGATAACATGAGATGTTGGAATTTATTTTACCTGTCAGTTACTTATGGAGTTATCTATTGCTACAAATATCCCTTTCACAAGACATCTGTGAGGGACATCAAAAAAAATTTATCTAAATCAACTAAAGTTTTTCGTTTTTTGTTTTTTTTTAAACTTAAAAACTAAAAATATAATTCACAGACAGAAAAATTTTTTTTTCAAATTACGCAGAAAAAGTTACAATGTTATTGATGATTTTTTTAGAAAACTGAAAAGCTTTGAATTACGTTTGCTTTTTTTTTAAATTAAGATTAGTTATTACAAAATTTAAAACTATTAAAAGGCGTTTTTATATATATTCAAGCTTACATTTGTTCTTTATATTTAAATTATAGCTCTTTATATTATAGTTTTTTCAACTTTACGTAATAGTTTCTTTTTTAGTATTTCCTTGTTTTCGTTTTATTGCAGGTGAATAATCAATGACAAAATATTAAGGCACTAAAGTTGAATAAAATTCAATCTTTTTTGTCAGTTGTTAAAAATTAGCATTCAGCCAATTGCTAGTAAAAATCGGAATAATTTTCTGGAAAAGAATGTAAAAATTTAATTAAAACTCTTAACTAGTTTTCTTGGTATTTTTTAAATCCTCATTAGTTCTTCGAAAAAAAAAAGATTTTTATTATGTAATTTCTCTTTATAAGAAAGTGGTTCAAGAAATATTTTTTATTGAGAATAAAAAATACATTTTCTGAAACTTAAACTGCAAAAAATAGTTCACAATTTCTAAATTTCACAATTGTTTCACAATTTTCTAAATAAATCCTTTAAGAAACTGTAAAATTAAAAAAAAGGCTTAAGTTTTTTGAAATTTCTTTTCAAATTGAAATAAAGTTGTATTTTATAAAAAGTTATTGAAAGTCTTTCATGAATTCCTATAATTTCTAAGCATCCTTTATATTCTTGACTTCACATTTCCAAAAATTTTATTGGAGAAAATTTTTAATATTTCACACAATATTCAATCCTTTTTTTAATTACGACTCATTTCAAAATTTTATGTTATATTTAAAATTTATCCCCTAAACAACATGCTTTCTAATAAAATTATAAGTGAAGATAATTGCATCATTTAAAGTGATCATCTTAAGCATCAATGAAAGCTTACCTCCTATTCCTGGGAATCTTTGAAGCGACTGCCTTGTTTGGATGAGGAGACTACAATTGAAGCGGACACAAACACGAGTTCCTGTTTTTATAACATCGGGTTGAACCCTTTCAGGGTCGTTCTCCAATCCGCTTTCGCTTTCTTAAGGTGATTCTAGGAATTTTTTTTATGAGTTTAAACAATGCTTTAATTTTTTTAATTCCGATTGGTTCCTCATTTGATTGATTTCATTTCTCTCTTCTTTACTTTCTATATTTTTTAATCACCTTTGGGTGGTCTATGGAAATTTTGTGATTTTTATTTAATTTCAAAATATTCTGTATTGGATAAGATTATATTTTAATAAAAAATTGAAACATAAAAAAGGTACTGTTATCGAAATATGCAATGAGAATTTAATCGAGTTGTTTTGTTCAATTTATGGAAGTTGAAGTTATTATGATATCATGCAAAATTTTATTGTTTTGATATTTATGTAGAAATAATATATAAATAAATAATTAAAATTTAATCACTGTACCTGTGGGCTTATAGAAAAGTGTAAAATATATAATATATTGCTGCAGAAAGGTCAATAAAGACCAATTAATCGTGATTCGGTTATCTTTTTGAAGGAAAAATTAAGATAGTTAAGGGCTATATCTATATCAAAACTGACATAATTAACATTAAGTATAAGGAGTAATTTTAATGTCTCTAAAAATGAAGCAAATATATAAAATATCATACAGAGTGACCATGTAATGTATATTATTATAAATCATGTTGAGAATGAGATAGAAAGATTATTCATATTGGGTGTGGCAAAATAAAATTTATACGAGGTAAGAACAAAAGTACTATGGAAATATTAAAAAAATCAGCCCTGAAGTAGGCGCCACTGAAAACATAAAAAACCTGTTTACTTGCTGGAGAAAATGAATTTCAGGTAAAAGGTGACTATTAGAAATACTTTCAGATAGAGAGATGTAAATTTGCATATATAGGGAGAAAGTTCTTGATTCATTTATTATTTTCATTTACTAACAGTAGAGCCCAAATTTCTATAGGTCCATTTTAATGCAGGACTTTGCAAAATCGGCATGACAAAATAGTAGTGACCCAATGGAGGAGTGACCTTCTACTATGCATATATATTTATAAATAATTTACTTATATAATATTACATATTTTATCCAGTATATTTACTTTTTGGTTAAATGACCTTTCATAGTTGCAGAAATTCTCACTTTCATTGTTTGTGTTGACGTTCTTTCCTGGAATGCTTTTAAACTCTTACCTTGTTTTTAATTCAAAGATAAATTCCTTTTGTGACATTTTAAGATTGATTCCCTTTTACATTCGATCGTCAATAGGAAAGTACAAATCCTTTCACCCATGAATATTCCTCATCAATGTTAGAATGGATGTTCTTAACTATTTTTGAACTTTTAAATGAAAAACAATGGGTAATTATAATTTTTCACGAGAATTTATCCTAAGTTCGATGGATTTTAAATTTAACCCTTCAACTTCTTAAAAAAGGGGAATAACACTTGTAAGAAAAATTTTTTGTTGTGTTTATACTGCCGTGCAAGCGAAAAAACAACGTAAGTGCTTCATTATGTTGGTATGGCTTGACAACCAAACGTGGCTTGACAACTATTTTCTTTCTATTGCTAAAGCTATGAAAGCTAAAATCGAAATTCATAAAACTGATAGAACAAAGTTTTTTTTTTAATTTTATTATGTATATAAAGAGAGAGAGAGAGAGATGTCAAATAGATACAAATATCAATTTTGAATATTTTGTCACTTACGTTGATTTTTCTATTGCATGGCAATATACAAGTACTTAATCAAACTTAATTACTGGCGTGGAGATTTCAAATCTAAAATTAATTTTGTTGGAAAAGTTCCGGTTTTTTTTTTTTGAAACGGTATTTTTGGTTAAGTTTTTGTTTAATGTCCGAATCTATAAAGAACGAATTGGTTATTCATAGATATACATATATATATATAT